AATTTGCCTGGGTTGTGTGATTCTTTGGTGCTTGGCTGGCTGAACTGTAGTGCCCATTTGTGTGAGGAGCAGCACTGGGTCCAAGCCTGATCCTCCTGCTCAACCTCAATGCCAATGGGTGTATGCGCAGGCCCAGCAGCCACCTTTGACTTTGAACACACAGCTGGTGCAGCCACCTTTGCAGGACAATGTGCAAAGATGCTGGGCTGAAGCACACAATAGAGGTATACAAAGCCAGTGCACAGAAAGAAAAGTAAACCCCTCTCCACCTGGCTGGGTCCATGGTGGTTCAGCACATGTCAAGAACAACATGGCTGCTGGCTGTTCAGAAAGGTATGGTAAGGTTGCTTTTATGATTGTAGGGCAACAATCATCAAAAGTGTAGTCTCATTTGTTGTTTCATGGGGGTAGCCATCCAGCAGTGGGGTGACAAGGTTTGTTGCAGGCACCAGGGATCAACATGCCCAGCATCCAGCACACTCTAAGGATTGCAAATGGTGCCAGTGGGGGCAGCTGGATCAGCAAGTGCACCCTCAGAGAGGTCAGAGATGGCAAGGGCCATGGACATGGAGTCAAGCTCCAGCAGCAGCCACTAGGTGATGTGAGGGTGAATTGCTGGGGCTGTGGGGCACACACATGGCATGCAGGGGAACCAAAGTAATTTTACAGAGAAACTGGTCTTGTCTCAGTCTAGATGAGAAGCTGTGTGTTTGTTTTGCAAAGCCCATGGAGTGTGGGTACAAATTGGTGTTCCCCCAGCAATCCAAGGTTCCAGCTCAAGTGAGCCATTCAGCTGCATTGATGCCTTGTACTTTTGTGGGAAAGGGGAGGGTGAACAAGGCTTACAGCAAGCATTGGCAGTGCTGTGTGCATTGCAACTTGCAGGTCCAACAAGAAGAAAAGGAAAAGGACAAAAAAGAAGAAGAACAAAAAGCGAGGCCAGGAGAACAACAGGATTTGCCACCAACAGTTCCAAAGAAGTAGCTGGTAGCAAAACAGCACTAATAAGTTGATATTGGAGTCATGAAGGGTGGGTGCACATTACAGTGCATGTGTGTGCATGTTGTTGTAGGCAGGATTGATTGATATCTAGGGAAAGCACCACAAGCAGTGGTAACAGGTGACAAAGGTGGGAATGTGCAGAGGGACCTTTTCCTGCAGCTGCTGGGGGTTTGTTTGTGCATGTGGTGCAGGCAAATCAGAGGAATCAAGTGATGCAGACAGTGCCTTGCCAGAAGCTACTCAAAGGGTTGAGTGATGCTATAAACAAACCTATGTTGCTGCAAAGTGCAAAAGTCTTGTGATGGGTGTAGTCCAGTGGGGTGGGGGCTTTGATAGTGTGGGACAACTGGCCAACCCCTTGGCATTTGACATGAACACTCAGGTGAAGCCCTGGATCGAAGGCCTGTGCCTGCAGTATCATTGGGCAGAAGCAAGAAGAACAGGACCAACCTCTTTGCCAGGAGACTGGCGTGAAACATGTTGTGCACACTTGTTGTTCTCATTTGTCTTAGGGAGAAACTGAACAATCCAGCCACATAGCATGGCATATGTGATAAGCTTCCTGTTGTTCTGTTGTACTTGTTTTGCAACCTTTGCATGTTTGGACGATCACCCCACCTGCATGGTCCTAACCCTTGCAATGTCCTACAATCTTTGTGCAGGAGGGATGCCCTAAGATTCCTGAAGGCCATCGACCCTGACAAGTTTGCAGATGGTGTGAGGCAAACATTGAGTGATGATGAGATGAGTATGGCATTCTGGCTTGCAACTGGTTTTCCCCCTCAATTGCGCTTGAGGGATCTCAGGGCCAGCAACAGAGGGGCCTTGAGCCTGCATCATGCTTGGCAAGTTTTGCATCCATTTGCTCCTTTGCTCCCTTTGCTCCTTTGTTCTATGTGTAAAGCATTCACTGGTGCAAAGCATGGAGTCCATCTCTAAGCCTAAGTGAGTTTTCTAAGGAAAGAGAAGTTTGTGGATGCTGCTGCAAGGTTCACAGCAAGGCATGGCAACAGATCAAGGCTGGATGAGGTGGCCCAAGATTACTCAAACATTGATGCCTGGTAGCATTAGAAGTTCATCATCACAATAGATTGCCATTGTGGTGCACTTTGTGTTGTGTGTATACCCATGGACTCCATGGAAGCCTTGTGTGTCTCTACCTATGTGTGGCAAATGCTACCACCACCCAGACCTTCAGCCCAGGAAGCAGTGGCAAGGAAATATGGATGGGAAGATGTGTATGCAGGCAAGCCAGTGGGAGCATCTTGCCACAATTGAAGTTGCTCTGCTGTGTGTAAATGGTATGGCCTTCAGAAGTATCCACAGACTTGTGTTGGTGTTGGCTGGTGTCAAAAAGAGTCAATATGCCACTGGTTGAAACATGGAGTTGGTTAGTGGTTGCACCAGCTCAGGCATCAGCACCTGGACCAGAAGCCAATCCAGCTGTAGACAACAGGCCTCAATACTGGTGTGAGCTTGCCAAGAATGGTGACATGTGGCTTTTGGCCAAAGAGGGCCACCTGATTGCATGGCAGTGTATGGGGAGGGGTTGCCATCATTGAAAGCAAGAATGACATGTATCAGTAAAGGGCTTTGGGGTGGTATACCACAAGCTATGGGTGTGTGTGAACACCAAGCCAAAAACCACCAGCCCACTCCCCATGCCTGTACATGTGACTGAGGTGGTGAACCAAAGATGCTTTGGCCAAGTGGAGTGCCATGCACCAAGCTCTATTGTGGAGGCAAGTATTGTATCAAAGGGCCACCCCCTTTGAACTTCACCATCACCATGGAGGAGGCCTTTGAATCAGAGCAGGGGTACCAGAAGTGGATTGGCGCACTGGCACCTTGTCAAACAAACATGTGTCAGGGCAAAAAGAAATGAGGGTGATTGGAAGTAAGGTGGAACCACTTGGCACTGCCTATTGTTGGACTTAGGTGTTAACATGTGAGTGGGGCTTCTGTGGGTTGTGTGTGTGCTGTTGGAATGAGTTGGAATAGGGTCGCACTTCCTGTTGTTGGAATGACTTTGTCACATCTACAGACATGAGTGGTGGTCCTTTGGTCCTTTGAGGCTGGTGTTTTGATGGCACCTCATATTGTTCAACCAAGAAGTGTACTTCACAAGTCTTACAATCCCAGGCAGATGCTGCATCCAGTTGTCCTCAAGAAGCTTGGGCCCAGAAGTTGCAGAACATGAATGACAAGTGGTTGCAAAAGAGTTTGGTGGGTGGATGGTTCATACTGTATTGACAATTGTTAGGTAATGCATTCAATTGTAGGGGTGTAGAATAGGTATGCATTGCTTGTGTGTGCCAGCTGCCAAAGGATTCACAAACCCTGGTAGGAGGTGCAACCTTTTGAGCCTAGGGGGGCAAAACAACAATCCATGCTGGATGTATTGAACAAGCTCAAACAAGCAAAGCTTGCAGCACAACCAGCCAATGCTGGAATGCTAGCATTGACTGCAGGGCCCAACACACAAGTGCAAGATTCACAGCAGCCAGAAGAACAAACACAAGCAATGTGTGGCCAAGCCTTCAGGCCACCACAGCAAATGGTGGGTGCACAGCAAATGCAAAGACCTGCACACATGCAGCCAGCAGCAGGCATGCAAGCACAGCAGGGTATGCAAACACAAGGACCAGGCCATAGCAGCCAGCAAACAGGCCAGGTGGCTCAGCAACTTGGATACCAAACACCAGCACCAGGGCAAGGCATCCACCATCAAGGAGGCCAAGGCATCCAACAAGTGGCAGGACAGCCTGGTGGCTATCACCAGATCCCAGCACCAGGACAAGGCAACCAGCAAGTGGCAGGTGGCATCCAGCA